GTTTCTCCAACAATATGGCCTCCCCCAATAGGAAGTCCCAGCATGTTTTATAGGCATGAAATGAAATTAAGTCCCTCCCCCCAAATTAAGGCCTATATTAAAACATGCGAAATGGGGGAGAATGGTGGGGGGGCTTGCCGTTAGGAAGTACTTTTGTTGCACACCCGGATATGGTGCTGCCTGCGTTGACCCCGATACGAAGTGCCCCACCAACGCCAAGGTCAACATCCAAGCCGTCGCCACCCGCCCACCCAAAGATGCAAGGGGGGGGGAAATTAAGTCACCCCCGAAAAAACAACCTAGCCATTTTTTCGGGGCTCAAAAAAAAATAAGACCCGGCCTTATTATATGAGAAACACGGTATGTTTTAGTTCCATCTGGATAAAAAGCATAAGACTTTACATCAATATAATTTGTGTCACGTGTCTTCTGAAAGAAGTATCCCATCTGCTGTCTAACCTACATGTGGCGTCTTGCAGTAGTTAGAATGCTGATGAGTAGTTTTCATCTTCCTTATATTCTTCTCCATCTGTGTCCATGCTGTATTATCATTGTTCAATTACTGTGATGATTTGAATATCCATTCCCAACTTTTAAAATAGATTGGTTCCATATAGGGAATCATCCTGTATAGGATTTGTTGTTTGGTGAAATCAGCATGATCCTGAAGATTAATAATAGCTTGTGTTGTGATACCAGGCCCAAATTGTGGTGCTGACCTACAATAGTAATTCCAGCATCTAATGTTGTGCCCTTGTGTAAATTTTAGGCTAAAAATTATACAGCAGAATATATGAGTTTTATGCTCCCAATGGGAGCATAATAATGGCTTCTTTGGAAGTCATCATTAATGTCATTATTGGTCTTCGTTTTGAATAATTTCTATCTCAACTAGTAATGCATTTTGTAGACATGAGAAAATTTATGATTTCCAAGATAGTGGAAAATTATAGACTTTTACATCAGGTAAGAATTGTTGCTATTCTGCAAGTTTTATATAAAACGAATATTTGAATAGAACAACCTTCCAAGCTAATTGCAGGATTAGTAACAACTGTTTTCTTGCTCTGTTTCAGAGGGTTTGGCTGTTGGTGTTGGATTTGGTGCTGTTGGGAAGTCACCTTCTGCAACTTTTGAAAGTGCAAGGTAATTGGTGTGATTTTAATTTATTCACTGGTGGGATTTCATTAGCTGTAGTAGTTGCTCATTTCCATGGTTGATAATTCTGTATCAGAACAGTAAATTCTTTAACATATGCATACATTGCCAAAGTGTAGCTTTGATCTGCCTGCTGTTTTACACATATAGTGAAATAAACATTTGCCCTTCACTCCTGTCAGTTTCCCAGTTTCCAAATATCTGCAGCTTTCTGACCCTTTTGATCATCCTCTTATTTTATCCTCCCCAGGGAAATACATAAGTACACATAATTTTTATTTCTGATTTTTCTGTTTGCAATAAAATAGGGGGAAAGGAATATCTGAAATGGTCAAAGAACAGTGTCATTTCTGCTTTTTCCTTACATGTTTGGTTTGTTTTTTTAGTCATTTTCTAGTGTTCTAGAATTTAGCTCCTTAGTTCTCCTAGTCTCAACTTTTCATTACATGCAACATCATTATCCATGGTTGTATGCTGGGATGCAACCCCCACAAATAAGGTCAACCTATACTTTAAGACTTCATTTTGTACACAAAAGTTCACTATTATTTTCAACAGGTTGTCATGGCATATAGTAAAGAAGATTCCCAGGAGGGAGGTGGTGCATAGAGGCATGAGAGGCAATTCAGCCCAGACACTATATGTGAGAGAAAGAGGGTGAAGACAGATCCTTCCTAATAGTTCTCAGAATATATGGCAGATGGAGATAGTAGACTCTTCAATCTGGCAAGATTTTGTCCATAGGTGTGAAATAGTGAAGAACTTAGCTTGGAAGAATCACTACACGTCATTCTTGGTTTTGGGCTGAAAGCTAGATTATTTGAGTCTAATTTCTTAAAACAATAGATGCAGGAAACAGGAGCCAACAATTCTACCTTATTAAACTAGCCTTTTAATATCTGAAATTCATATCTGAAAGACTGGGGGATTGTGGCAATACATTTACTACTGCCTGCTTATGTTTTATTGAGGTTAATATGGATGATGCAACTAGTAATGACAGTATAGTGTAAGTATAGGAGAAGAGCGGGTGGTAAAATTGTTAAGAATAGCAGGGTTCTTTTTCTCTCTTCAATTATGCCACAGCAATGGAGAACACGTTATGTGAATCCAAGCTGTGCTAGGAATGTTTACTGCTGAGGGCCTGCATCTATCTGTGTCTTCTAGACATTCAGGATTCCATCTAATATTTATCATGAAAAGCTGCCCTTCCTCAATACTAGGCAGAGCAATTCAAGCTTGAAATAATCAATGAAAAGATATAACAAAGTTGGGTTCACTTGAGTGTGGCAAAAGAACATAGATTTAAATGTAAAAATTGTCTACACAGAGACATAGTTTTCTTTGCTTTATTATCTAATTAAATATATTTTATCATTTTTATAGTAAGGCTGTTCTATCCAAACCCACCCATCCCCCCCAAAATACGCCTTTATCTTTTTTTAATAACTTGAGAAAATATAGTCTACTTTTAAATCAGAATTGAAAGGTTTTAGGAGGATTAGCACAAATAATTGGGCATTATTATTATTATTTAAATTGGTTATGGCTGCCCACTCCAGTAGACTCTAGCTTGAGAAGCAGATTTCAACCAGTCCGTTAAAAACAGACAGGGGGAAGGAAAGTTTAACCCTTGGAAAAATACATATGTGGTATGTAGAACCTGATCCATGTCTTGTTGAAACTGTTTAATATTCTATAAATATATATATATATATATATATATATATATATATTTGTCTTGAATCTAATTCCAAAAAGAAAGTCCTGAGACAATTTTCTGACAGCAAGAACATTTTCTCTTCAATTCCAATTCTACAAGAGGAGAAATTGTCTGAAATGTCCTATGTGTACTGACCTCATCAAAGCCCCTCTTGGTATCAGAATCAAACCATGTAGCACAAGAACTGGGTGCCAACACAGATGGACCAATTCACCCTGATGATTAATCAGGCAGCTCAGCAGATGGGTCAGAACTTTTTCTCTTTCCCAGGCTTAAAGTATGTTTTTGCAACCATTGGCTCTGTCTGGTTTCCCCAAGATTCTTTCCTTGGCTCTCTACAGGCTTTGTAATAAAAATCAGCATCTTGAATTTCACGAGAAGCTTATTAGGAGCCAATACAACTCATAAATTAGAGTGTTACATGAATGTTCCATACTGCAACCATAATTATCATCTTCAGTGTATTGTGGAACAATTACATTGTTTTCAAGGGCAGTACTATGTAGAGCTCATTGTAATATTCCAACCTGGAAGTGATTAAGGCATGAATAGTGGCAATCAGGACTTCCATAACGGAGTTAGCAAAACTCCACTAAAAACTAAATAAATTGGCAGTGAGACACATTGTGCACAGGGGTGGGATTCAAATTTTTAAACAACTGGTTCTGTGGGCATGGCTTAGATGATGGGTGGGTCTTGGTGGTCATGTGACTGGGTGGACGTGGCCAACTCAACGTCACTCATGTCAAGGGGCACTTCTCCTCGCCTGGCCTCTCATGACAGTGGGGATGCTGCAGTGGTCGTAAGTATGAAAAATTGTCATAAGTCCTTTTTTTCAGTGCCATTGCAACTTTTTTTAAAATAAAGTTTTATTGAGTTTTAACAAAACAAATAAAACATCTTATTTGAGTACAGCATCGTTCCGGGTTATCACATTTCCACACAGACACAATTTCATATGCATATTCATCTTATGTATTCAACTTCATATCTTATTATTCTTTTTCCAACTTCTCACTATTTCTCCCTTTACTTCTCTTAATTTTCTTTTATGGTTATCTCATTTTCTTCTTATTCAATTGTATTTCTTTTACCTAAATTTCTATATATCTTTTTATTCATTGTACTTATTCTTTCATCTGTCTTGTTTACAATTTCATATGTTCTCTTCCAACATTCTTAAGAAGCAAAATTCCCCCTATGATTGCCAACCGAAGTGCAACACCTTTAAAACTTATTGTTATTATCATATGAAATCTCATTAAACATTGAATTTGTGCATTATAAAATTATAACATTCAAATTTCTAATATCTATTTTATATCATGTAGATCTCATCATTCAGACTCTGCTTGGTATTTCCCTTGAAAATGTAAAAAAAAAAAATTCTAAAAACATAGCAAAAACAATATGTATATATAAACATTAGTAAACAAAATAGTTATTCAAAATCATTCTAGTACTGGTATGAACCTTGTAAATCTTTCACGTTTCTTTTCAATATCTATCAATCTTTGAGAACAATTGAAATGTTTCCCTCCCTTCTTCATTATTACTTAACTGTTAATAAGCATATCATTGGATAGTCATATAGTTTTATCTTATAAATTATTTACTATTAATAAGCAAAATAATTATTCAAATTTATTCTAATAACTGGTATAAATTTCCCCATGAATCTTTCACATTTCTTTTCAATATTTTATCAATCTTTAGAAACAATTGCAATGTTTCCCTCTCTTCTTTATTATTGCATTAATTATAAATAAACATACCATTACATAACAATACAGTTTTATCTCATAGATTATTTACTTATTTCATTTCTAACTCATTACAGTATTCTACTGTCACAACACTATCTTTTGTAACTTTGCAGAATCCTCACTTTTAACTTAATTTAACCATTGTCTCTGTGTTTTCTAGCTGAGCAAATACCTTTAATCCTAGTACGTTTCCCCTTTTTCTTTATTTCCTCTTTTTGTCCCTCATAACTTCTTTCCCTTTCTATCTTTCCCCCCTTTTCCTCATCCCCCCTTTTTATGCCCTTCTCTCTCTAATTTTCCCTTCTGTAGTTTTCTTTTCTGCTTCTCCTTGCTGTTGTACTTCTTTTTCAGACTATTTTTCTTTTTGGCTGTTCCCTTTGATCTCAAACTTTTAACTCCTTTCCCCCTTTTTCCCCTTATTACCACACTTTGCATTATTTGATCATTGAAAATGGCTTCTTCTTTGTCCCGCCCTTCTTCTTGCTCTTGAAGCTTTTCCTTTTGCTTTTCATAGTTCAGGATCTCCATTTCAAAAAAATTCAAATACGAAGCCAAAGGATCTTCCTCCCCTTTCTGCATCTTCTTTCTGTTTTTTTAAGACTCATCTTCAATTCCTCCAGGAGTGATGGCATTTTAAACACTTTTGAACAACCACCCAATTGACTTTAAGTAAAAACAGAAAAAGAAAGAAAAAACCAATGGCAAAAACTTTTTTTTTAAATCACCAAATGATCCCAGACTGTTCCTTCTTGTTTCTTTTCTTTACTTTTCCTTTCCGTGGGTTACTGTATCTTTTAATAAGATTTCAGTTACAATGTATCCTTGGGAGTCTTTTCAAAGTTTCACTGTTAATCCTCTTTATTTTTCCAGGTGGCACTCCATTTTTCCATTATTCCAAGTCCCACCCTTTTGCCTCCACTCTTCTCCTTTTTGGGGCTTTAAAATGACCAAGAAAAAATCTTTATTCTCCTTTTAACACTTAGATTTCAGCTTAAGGTTGCCTATTAGTGTCAAAATAGATTAATATAAATTTCTGTCCATACCATTTGTAATTGTCAATATATAGGTTAAAAAAAAGAGTTTTTAACCTCCTTTTCTCTCTCCTTCGCCGCTTAAAGATCTTCTTTCAGAAGTATCCCTCTAGGTACTTTTAGATTCAAGGTACCTTGCTTAGATGTTCTCTGTTGTTTAGCCCGGTCTGTCCTGCTTTCCTCTTTGTCTTCCTCCTGCACAATCTTATCCAGTCGGGTTCTTCTTTGAGGTGGCCATTTCTGACCACCGCTGCAACCGCCTTCAGGGAAGGGAGTTTAGACCAGCCAAGGAGGAGAGATGCTGCTCCCCTCCACTCGGCTAGCAATCTCCCCCCTCTTCACAGGGTGGCTTCAGCCCCGAATCCAAAGGATTGGGGCACTCCAGCAGCGAGCACAGATCGAAACCATGCATGATCGTGGATTTCGATCTGTCACTGAAGAGACCCAAACCGGAAGTCAGTGCCATTG